TCAGAACGCTGCTGGAACCACCACGATCGATGGGTACCGCGGGAGGAGCGTCTAATGACTTACACGGCGGCGAAGAGATCGTCCTCAAAGTTCTCCGGTTCCGTCATCGCGGCGACACGGGGTGAGTCTAGTAAGCTATCCTGGGCTGACAGACAGTTCTTCTAGATACGCGATTAAAAGAACCCTAGAGGAAATGAAGGTAAAGAACTATAAGGGGAAAGGGAAGCCGCAAAGAGATGGTGCTGTCGATGGGTTGTTGTCCTGACAGGCAGGTAGCTGGGCTGACGTGCCTCCCTCAGAATGTGCTGGGGCCCAAGGAAGAACATGTCGGCAGTGGGGCGGTTGAAGAAACCACTGACCAATCAGAACCTCTAAAGCTGTCCAACGAGGTGAAGGGAGAACCTTTAATGCCTGGTCACGTGTTTCGGATTCTCCGGGTTGCGGCTCGCTACATTCTCCTTGCTGCGGGGATGGCGGAACTGTATTTGCATCAAATTCAAAAAGACCCGTCTCAGAAGCTCGTGCGATCAACACAAGGTTCGACGCACCAGAATGCGGAGCACATCTTGAAAGAAACTGACTTGTTACGATTGAAGACGTACGCCTCGTAGGTAGCTTCCGAATGGAAGGGGAAGTGACGCCCCCAGCTTAGTCAGTGCGCCAGCCACGAGGGATGTGGCTGTGACGTGACCGATTGAAAGCGGGAGTGGGTGGGCAGTTCAGTGGCGCCTTGGAACAAGTGACACAAGAGACCCGTCCTCGGACCTGTCGCTGGGGAACAGAAGGACTCGAGATCTCCCCACCGCATCATGTCACACCTGGTTTAGCACCGCCAACACGATGTTCTCCTCTTCAGGGAGTGGGAAGAAGGCACCGCAGCAGGTCAGTCCAGCACAATTTCCTGTCTCCTCTTGCTTTGCGCATTACTGACTGCCCCGCAGCAGGAAATGGTCCAGGTCGGTATGTCGTCCCCCCCCCTCCTCCCCAGAGTGACCATGACCAGATTTCTGAAACGAAACACCACTTGCTGACTTTGGTTTCTCGTCGCAACGACAGATCGGTCAGAGTGCGCTCAACTCTTATGCCTGCACTACTGTCGACATTACTGACGCCTACTAGATCTGCATCGCCCTTTTGGAACCCCCCAAAACGCGGTGATGCGTCCAAGAAACCCGCTCGCGACCCCAACATGGTGGTCGGCGCGGCATACTCCCACGCCGATATGCTGAAGTTTGACTCGTTGTAGGTACTCCAGCATACCTCACACCCTGCAGAACTGACCAAGGGTACCGGCAGAAACCTCTCTAGCTCGTCGTCGAGGCCCAAGACACCACCCTCATCACAATCGGCCAAGGCCCGGACAAGCGATGTGTCCTCTTCTTCGCGACCGACTCCGGGGCTCTCGTCGCCACCATTCAGAACCTATATGAACTTTCTCTCGAACACGAATGATGACTGGAAAGCGGATGAAGAAGATGAGATGATGGGTTACGACGATGACGACGGCGACGACTTTGGCCTTCCCAGCCTATCTAATACAAAGAGGAGGACGCGGAAGATGGCTGCCCAGAGGACGGATGGCAACGGCAGCCTCCTCTCTCCAGCGCTAGAGGGGTCATTTGGTGGAATCGACGGCAGGCGATTGTCAAGCAGTGGCGATATCGCCATCGAGAGACCCGCGCCAGCGTATCCCATGCCCAAAAAAAGCGAGGGCAAGATCCTTCGGCCTCAGTACAAGGACATCCTCAAAGGTATCGTCGTGTTTCGAAGAGGATACTAGTAGTAAACGGCTCTAACACCTCGCCCAGACCCCGCGAATGCCCTTCATTTGATCAACCACCCTCCAACTGCAGTCAATGCGACCCCCAAGGAAATCGATGCAGCCAACTCGCGGATCACCCGTATCAACAAATTCAAAAAGATACTTCAGGCGTCAACGATACCCATCGCAGAGCTTCGTCAGCTAGCTTGGTCGGGTGTTCCTGAGGAGGTTCGGGCCATGACATGGCAGCTCTTGCTCAGCTACCTCCCAGCAAATAGCGAGAGGCGGGTGGCAACTCTGGAGAGGAAGCGAAAAGAGTACCTGGACGGCGTGCGACAGGCTTTCGAGCGCGGTGGTACAAACCCTTCTACGGCGGGTAAGGCGAGAGGACTCGATGAGGCGATCTGGCATCAGATCAGCATCGACGTGCCTAGGACGAATCCGCATATTGAACTGTACAGCTACGAGGCGACACAGCGGTCGTTGGAAAGGATATTGTATCTGTGGGCCGTGCGACATCCCGCAAGCGGCTATGTGCAGGGCATCAACGACTTGGTCTCGCCGTTCTGGCAGGTATTCCTGGGCATCTACATTGGGGATCCCAACGTTGAGAGTGGCATGGACCCAGGTCAGTTGCCAAAGCCCGTGCTGGACGCGGTCGAAGCCGACTCGTTCTGGTGTCTCACAAAGCTCCTGGATGGTATCCAGGACCACTACATCGTGGCACAGCCTGGCATCCAGAGGCAAGTCGCGGCCTTGCGAGATTTGACTGCTCGTATCGACGGGAGCCTTGTGAAGCATCTCGAAAAGGAGAATGTCGAGTTTATCCAGTTTAGTTTTCGCTGGATGAACTGTCTTCTGATGCGAGAAATCAGCGTCAAGAATACTATTCGAATGTGGGACACATATCTGGTAAGGACAGCTTCCTCTCACGTATTGCTTTGAGAAATGAACGGGCTAACAGAGACATGCACAGGCTGAAGAACAGGGCTTCTCTGAGTTCCACCTCTATGTTTGTGCGGCATTCCTGGTCAAGTGGTCGGACAAGTTAGTCAAAATGGACTTCCAGGAGATTATGATGTTCCTTCAGAGCCTGCCCACCAAGTCGTGGACAGAGAAGGACATTGAACTGCTTCTAAGTGAGGCATTCATATGGCAGAGCCTGTTCAAGGGCTCGTCAGCTCACTTGCGAGGTCAGACAAGTCGAGCACCTTCGACAAGTTTACAATTATAATGCAGTATTGAGACGATAATCCGCCTCGGTCGATGAACATATCTGTCTATGCCTGCAGTGTTCCCTGTGAAGAGGCGAGGAGGGACCTTGCGACTCCCTGCCTCTATCCGGTGACACAGACACTCAGAATTGTAGTCCTGCCATGATGAGGTCCTTGGTTGAATAAGGGGAGGGTTGCCTCTCAGTGGACTCGCGGTTTAGTCGTATGGTTGGCTGGCTGTCTGGCGCATTCTGGTGAGAAGTGGACTATTCAAAGGAGCAAAGCCCTTGAGCCCCTCCCTCCCCTCCACGCGAGGCCTCGATTCAGGATCAAGACCCATGTCCCCCTGCTGTTGCTGCGCTGGCTGACGTGCAGCAACGGGAGGGGACCTGACCGCCAATCAAACGCGTGCGCGTCGAGCTGAGCTTCAGAAGCTCTTCACCTAGCGCGTCATTCCACCGAGCCTGAAAGCCAATTGCGCCCAGATCTGCCCACCCTGGGACAGACCATCACCCTAGGTACCTTACCTTACACCTACACAAACCCAAACCTCCCACTTCGCATTCCTTCCTTCCTTCTTCATCAAGAAAGCACGAGTTTTTCTCCTCATCCACCTCCACCGCTATCGCATTTCGCAGAACATACCCCACGACCATCGACAATTTCATCATGGCCGATACTCCTGAGAAGCAGCAAGAGCAGCAGCCGCCGGTGCCTGCTGAGGAAGCTCCTCTGGTCCTGCCTCCCATCAACGAAGCAGTCGCTGCCATCATTGACGAGGCCAAGACGGGCGCGAGCACACCCTCGTCCATCGGCGCGCAGTCCGACCACGACATTCTTTCCAAGAAGGTCACCCTGGCCGACCTAACCGCCAAGGCGACGGCCATGTACGCGCGGAAGGAGTACGACGACGCCGCCGAAGCCTTCGCCGCCGCCGCTGAACTGCAGGCCGACATCAACGGCGAAGAGAACCAGCCCGACAATGCCGAGATTCTGTTCCTCTACGGTCGCACACTCTTCAAGGTCGGCCAGACAAAGAGCGACGTGCTCGGTGGTCAGGCTGCCAGCAAGAAGGTCGAGAAGCCCCAGCCCAAGGCCCCCAGAGCTCCCAAGGAGGCGCCGGCCGAGGCTGCTGCGACAGAGGATGCCAAGACGGAAGAGCAGAAGGTGACACAGGAGGGTCTTGCTGCCGTCGCTGAGCAGACTGATGGCGCGAAGAAGGCCGAAACGGTCGACAACAAGAAACCCCTGTTTCAATTTGAGGGTGACGAGAACTTTGAGGACTCGGACGATGAGGTAAGTCTTGCTCTCAGTAGTCGCGAGATCGTGTATTGATCCTGCGCAGGTCGCCGAGGGTGAAGGTGAGGAGGACGGCGAGGAGGAGGTGGATGATCTGCAGGCTGCGTTCGACATACTCGAAATGGCGCGCATCTCCCTCGAGAAGAAACTAGAGCAAGTGAAGCAACAAGAAAGCGAGGACCCGAGCAAGGGCAAGGAGGTCTCTGAGGGCGACAGCGGCATCCTGAGACACGTCAAGGAGCGCCTCGCCGACACTCACGACCTTCTCGCCGAGATTTCGCTGGAGAACGAGAGGTACGTTGTCGATGCTTTAACGCGGCGTTCTCTCTTCCTGACTCCCAACCTAGGTTCCCCGCCGCCGTTCGCGACTCTCGCATCTCTCTGCAGTTCAAGAAGGAGCTGTACCCGCAAGAATCGGAGGTCATTGCCGAGGCTCACTTCAAGCTCTCTCTTGCACTAGAATTTGCCTCAGCCACTACGACTCAGGAAGACGGCGCTGCCGAAGGCGAGCAGGCGCCCTTTGACGAAAAGCTGAGGGAAGAGGCCATCACAGAATTGGAGGCCGCTATTCAAAGCACCAAGTTGAAGCTTCAAGCAAAAGAGGTTGAGCTCGCTGAGATGGCGAACCCCGAAGAGAATGTTGCCACCAAGGCTCAGATCAGCGATGTTCGCGACATCATCGAGGACATGGAGCAACGCGTAAGTACTTTTCCTAAATTGTGCTTCAACACTTATGCTGACACTCATGCTAGCTCACCGAGATGCGCAAGCCTCAAGTCGACTTCAAAGCTGCCCTTGAAGCAGCTGCCGGTACTGCCATCCAGGGCATCATGGGCTCAGCGTTGGGCGAGTCCGCGTCTGAGACGCAAGCTCGCGTCGAAGAGGCCAAGAAGAACGCGACCGATCTCACTGGCCTGGTCCGAAAGAAGAAGAAGGACGATGACGCTCAGCCTGCTGAGCAGACGAATGGCAGCGGATCTAACGGTACGAAGCGTAAGGCCGAGGAACCTGCCGAGTCGGACGAGTCTGCCAAGAAGGCCAAGGTTGTGGAGGAGGCAGCTTGAGCTCGCTCACTGTCCGTCAACTTGGGCGGATTGAGGCTGACCGCTCTGTTCCATCTGTTCTCCCAAGAGGTGAGCATTGTATTTGTAATTTACTTTTTGGGAAAGCCAAGGTAGGCTGGGTCACGGTTGGGCTGTTGTGCAGTGCGCACGCGAGACGGTGAACGCAGGTTGGTTCTTTTTGCAAAGCGATCTCACGGGGAAAGAGGCTAGGTCCCGGGTCAAAATAGGCAACATGATTCTTGAATGTGAAGGCTTGTTCGATACCACGATTGTGCCCTGTTCGTCTGGTGGCCTAAGTTATGGCATACTTCAAAGGTCAGCTCAGATGGCTAGACTGAAGCATGAGACCCCGAAGGCGTCAATAGTCGTCTACAATATCTACCTACCTTGGTCTGGGATCTTTCAACGGCGCCCTCGTTCGGGCATTCGTGCAAGTGTTGGAAACGCCTGATACTCATATTCGTTGAGGCTTTTGGCTGATGCGCAAATCAGGCCATTTCTTCCTTCGCATCCTTCTATTCGTCTCTTGAGATGACATGGGTGGAAGCAGGACGCCCAACGGCTGTTTATTTCTGTCTACGGCATAGCAGTATCAAAGACAAAGTCGTTTCAGTTTGAGGGTTTGAGGTAGGCCACCACTGGAACAGTGTTCTTTCTGAGGCTGATATGCAAGCTCGCCAGTCCGCCACATATGCATGTACCGTCCAGATGATATGAAACGCCTAATAATGGGATTCGACAAGCTCAACCAACATTGCAGTTCGTTTGGTCGGCGAGTCACGCTGCTGCATGCTGTGCCTTGCCAGGGAAGCCACACGAATCGTTCTCGTGAAGACCACATGGTTGGCGAGGTAAGGTTGACTCGTCCACCGCGAGGTCAGATGGCAGCTGTGGGATGAAGCGATCAATCAGGGCGTCAAGTTGCGAAGGCCAATATACGAGACTTTCGCTAGTTCACGGGCCTCTCCCGAAGCTGGTGCTGGGTCGTCACGCTCTTTTCGGCAGATCCAGGACCTGTATTGAGTTTTTACCCCTGACATCAACCCCCCTGCCACTTCTCTTCTCGGCCACGAAGGGACGCAAAGCCTTCTCGGGTCAGATATCAGCATCGCAATAGCCCTCCACGTCAAAACACCGGTCCTTAGAGATCGGCAAGCCATGCAGCAATAGCCCTACCATCTCTCCAGGGGAAGAACACCTTTTCCCCGGTGTGCTCCATGTCTCGCAGGATGGAACCCTCCTTTGTTGTCACCCTGGTGGTAGAGTGCTCCCCAGTCATGGCAATGACCAGCTCAGACCTCTCTCACCTTCGTCTCTCTTGCGGGTGATCACGGCGCCCGCCCGCCTCCGATCACGTACCACAACCCCTCTGTCCTTCTCACCGGGGAGCGTCCAGGCGGAACCCTCCCGCAGCCGCGGCGTGTGGTGGGGATGACGTGGCTGCTAGGGGGCAGGGCGACATGTTGCACGCAGGGTGGTCGCATGGCACACAGCCGGGCGTCGGAAAATATCCCGTTTGCTGGATAGGGGGTGGCTTCTAGCTCTCAACGTGTGTTACCATCACTCTTTTGGATGTGATTGGGGTGTGCTGAATTCGGGCCGCCTCGCGCGTATGTGTGTGCTCGCCCTGCTTCCGCGGAAATTGTTGACTTTTGACACTGAGTAATTCGGTCCTGACGTTTTCCAGAATATCCCAGACGTCGCTCGTGGCTTTCTTTGTCGTGCTACGCGGACCAGGGGGCGTTGAGGGGCTGCTCGCGTGTGAGGTTGCGTTCGGGTGACGGCAGCATGGGCTAGGTAGCTTGCAGAGTGTAATCTGCGATACTACGACAGACAAGCTTTCTCGGGAATACATGCTCTACGTAGCATCGCCAGTGCTGTTGAAAAGTACTGGGTACAGAATTTGGGATGGAAAGAAACGAGGAGTGCTGTTCAATCGTCCATACTAATCAAGCTGCAAGACTTTGGATGTGCAAGGACGGGTCGCATGGCACGGCATACATGTAAGCCCAGCGGCCATGTGTTGCATCTGAGGAGACCGAACTGTCACCATCACCATGGGAAAGAGAATCAAGAGCAGTGTGTTCGTCGTGAGTAATGGGCAATACGACGTTGTTGATGCTGATGGTGAGAAGTGCCTGATTTGTGCACACTTGCGCAGGTTCAAGGGCTATGACTAGAAGACGTTGCCTGCTCCTCGACACCATCCGCTGAAGAATGGTCATTCTAGAGCGTTCCCAATCTAAGGCGCCAAAAGTTTCGCTATTACGTGTTCGAAATTTCGTCGCGCCTTGCTGTCCGGTGGCGTGCAACGAACAGCCTCGGATTCGGGGGAGGTCAAGATATCTCCAAATCATCAATCATGAAGGTCTGTCTGTGCCTTGCTATGGAGTTTAAGGCTGCATACATATGATTATGGCTACCTCAGAAAGGTTTGATCTACAAAATATATACCTGCGCATCCTGGTGCATATATCTTCTCGGCGAAAGACATACGGAAGTGACATGATACACAACGCAGCCCTTTTCGTCACGAATGGAGTTCTCCGCATACCGTCGCATGGCCACGACTCATTCAAGGCTTGACTCACGTTGAGATGTCAGCGATGAAAGTTACTTACTGAACAATCAAAGTGATGATTGTAGTCGCCCTCAATACCACTCCCCCCCTGGTCACACAATGCTGAGACGAGACCCAGTAATCGGCCAGGTCGGGGTCAACGTGCCGGAGCCGTGTTGATCTTTCACTATGTGACGCTCGCCTCGTGATCCAATCGTAGAGCTCTGAATGCTTGTCATAAGGCCTGCCTAGGAGTATTTTCCTTGTACTTTTTGTCAACGACAGCAGGTAGTTGACCAGCAGCGCTATTGGTGAACATGCAACTCCTTTACCAAGAGCCCGCCCCCTCCTACTATAGTTAGGTCTGGAACCATGAAATCGTACCATTTCCTGCTGCCATTTACTACCAAATCGCGGCTATGGTCTGGCGGTATCTTCAGAGGGAGAGGGGCACAGCCCCTCCTCCTCCTCCTCCTCCTCCTGCCATGCAGCGGAACGTCAGCACTCCCGATTTCTGGGGGTAGGTGAATGATCGCCACCAAGCACCTAAAATGCGGATGTCGTCTGGCAGTCCGCCGCTGTATGGTGACTATGAACCTGTAGCTAGTCACTCTTAACCACATCGTCAGAACGACCGAATGCGAGGCAGCTCATTCAGCAGTGTGGCAGATTATGTATGCATGGGACGCTCTGAGGTCAACATGCACTTGAAAGTACTTTCGACAACCGGGCTTAGAATGCAGAGGGACATGGCAGCATCATCTACCAGCCACGACGGGTCGTCGATATTTCGCCACTGGCGACATGAATTAGCTCACTGAGTCTCTTTGCGCAAGCCTGCACACGTGATGGTAGGCTGCTCTGGCCAGATACGCAGGCTGGCGATCCTCAGCCATGGGCTTATAGCGCCATCGCCCGCGCTCTGGAAAAGACGGTGTGAGTGGCATGTAGTCTCTATCGGACTACGCGTGGATCGAACAGAGATACGGGGGAGTCGGTATACAGTGTATAGAGGCCGCAGGCGGATCGTCGCAAGCTGACTCGTATGTTGGTATGACAGCATGGTATGTCCTGAATCGAAGGGGAGACTCTTGACCATCAACGGCTCAAGTAGTAGAGCGGTCGGTCATCGGAAGAAAGGTCACGCTGATAGACGAAGGGTCGAGGGACTAATCACTAGCGGACTTCTTAGTGTTGCTGAGGGCAAGCGGCGAACGCATGTTTGGCACGAGGCGCGTCCCGACCTTGTCTAAGTGTCAGCGGACTGCAAGGTTAGTCAACTCGACGGGCAGAGGCTCGGAAGACGGGACGGAACCAACACGAACGAGCGGGCTGCACAGGGCCTGGCCGAGTGGCAGCAGACGCTGTGAATAGGTCCATCTGATCGGGCTCCAGGGCGAAGAAGGTCTGAGCTGCCAACACGTACAACGTACGGGGATCGCGGTACATCGTGATGGTACCGTGGTCTTGCCTGTGGCCATGGGCTTGGCCTCTCAGTGGCCGGACAAGTTGTCCCAATGGGGTGAGCTGCAGCACCAGGGGTAGATTGGATGAAACCAATGCAGAAACCAATGCAAATCATGAGTACTGGGGAGAGGGGGGAGGGGGGCTCACTCTGGTACATGGTAGAGCCGGCAAGGCATTCATTCGTCACGGAATCCTTGGCCTCGGCGATGAGAGTCGGGGCTGGTTCGCTTCGGGTCGAGGCGATCATCGCAGGGATCGTTCCAAGGCCCTGTGTCGGGCCATGTCAGAGGTTGATTTTGGTGCTGAGATGTTCAGTCGTCTGCATTGGTGTTGTACTGTATTCTCCTGTCGCAGGTCTGGACGAGGACAAAGAATGGGTGCCGAAGTCGCCATGCTGCCTGTGGAGCTGCTCGATGTGGTGGGCTAACGGGCAGACCAGCTGGCTGGGCAGGGCAGGTGATGGAAGGAGACGGAGTTCAGCCAGCGTCGCCATCCGACTGACTGATGCGGAAAAGCTAGGAATCGTGATGGCCCGTACAAAGTGATTTCATTTGATCATCGAAGTGTCTGGACCAGGACCTGAAAGATGAAGGAATTGTTGGAGAAGGTGATGTGCCTAGATCGTCTTCTGAATGTTTGGATGGCACTCGCAGGCCACAAGCATTGCGGAAGGCACATGTCCACCTTTGTTCACCGACCTACCTAGGTAAGGTAGGTACGTGCATAGTACATGGTACATACAAGTAGTAAGGCAGGCACGACTGATGCAGGTACATCCTGCCCCCCATCTGTCTCTCCCTGGGAAGTGCCTACCTATTCTTTGTTATTGCCGCTGCAGTGTCGTCTCGTCCATTCTGTTCATCCCACGTCCTTCACTCCCCAGACCTTCCCACCACGACCCCTCTGTCGTGTCGCCTCAGTCCACACCCATCTACCCAGGTCCAACATGGCATCCACGCATCCACCACCACAAGATCTCTGCCAGGGCTGCTCGTGACGAGTCCCAACGCATGAATGTTCCATGCAACCGCACCAGTGGATGACACGGTCATCGTCGCGGTCTCCCGCCCGGGCCCGATTGACCCCAGTGACAGGGACAAAGACAAGGACAAGGACAAGGACAAGGACAGGACAAAGACAAGAACGAGGGCCCAGGCCTAATACATTGTGTCTAAGACATCCAGGCACATCAAGGACCACCCATCTTGGCATTTCAACATCTTTTAGCCTTGCTTGGACTTGGCCTCATTACCTCGTCCCTCCAGACTCGTCCCTCCAGACTCGTCCCTCCAGACTCGTCCCTCCGCGACTTCAGCTGAAACACCACCGGCCTCTTGGGCGTGGATCCACGCACTGCTTCTTACCCTATACGGACTAGTCACTGCTATCTTGAGCCCGTCCCACGGCCGGTCCCCTTACGGCCCATGTTAGAATGCAAAGATGGCACGGTCTGGGGGCTGGGCCAAGCGCCACACACAACCTCGATGATATCCTTCGACGGCGAGGGAGCGTTCTCATTGCGCTCCACCGCCCAAATGTTCTTCGGGTTGTTTGGCACTCTGTGGGTATTTCCATCATTGGCGGCCTCGTGTGGCTGCGTCCCGACACCTTACCACAGCTTTCGATCGATGACCGGCCAATATCCACTGATGACTCTAACTGACTCTGCGGCACACACCATCAGACCCAATGCGCGAGTCGAGATTCGGGACCGCCTGGACTGGACAAGCAAGTGACCTGGCTGACCAAGCTCCATGCAGCAAACCTTCGCATGCCAGACCAAAAAGGGGTTATGACCTGACCGCGCGATCCATGGACGAACGATGAGCGACGGTCGGTCCAACCTGGACCGGGGGTCTCCCGTTGAGCCCCTCGTGCTCCTTGTCAGAAATCCCTCCACGCCGCCAACTCCTCAGTCGCAGTATACCTGTCATGCATCCTTCCCTCACATCACGACAACATCTCAGCATGCTTCATGAAACATGGAGCAACCCTTCTCGCGAGCCAATCGCGAGTCCCGACGAACAAATGCCGTTATGCCATGTGTGTGTCCGGTGTGGGCAGTCCATGTTGTTGCAACTGTCGCCTCCTGTCATCGAGCTGTCATTGACCTTGCTGCGTCTCTCCCCTGCCTGACCTGTTTTAAGCCTTCACCGGCACAGCACAAGACCGGCGCGGCGTGCGACATGATTTCGAGGGGCCCGTTGTTAGGGCGGGATATTCAATCTGCCACACCTATCACGCTGTCATCCTTTACCCTGCTCACTGCTTGTCCTGGGTTCCAACATGATACGTGGGCCTGTTTGCCGTTTCCTCCATGCCAAAAGGTGGCACAGCACCTCAAGGCACCACAAGTTTACATGCTTCTGGTAAGGGTTCGCGGGATTTGAGTATAGGTTGCTGAACTGGCTTAGATGTTGATGATCTACACGTCGGGGTGCCATTTCGGGCTTCATGCATCCCCTCCAGCAAGCCGTCATGCAGCGTCATGTTTCGACAATTTGACCATTCAGGCACCCTCAACACTACACACCCCACATCCAACACTGACCTCGTAGTAACAGTGCATGTGCCGTTTATTAACCTAAGGTAGGCTGACCTGGTGAGTAGGTCGGACTTGATTTGCCTCTCACAATGCCTCCGCCTGCCACCTGACCACGATCTTGACGTGCGTCTTTTTGGGCGTGGAAGGGGGAAGGTCGCATCAGTCTGTACTAGAACTATCGATCCTCCCAGTCAATTGTTTGACAAGCCACAGGGGTGGGGTTCTGCGAACCCTGGCCTTGTCGCCGGCATCGTCACTCTTGTCCCACCCCAAATCTGCACAGCACAACGATAGCCATTCCAAGGTTGAGTTTGGGTCCGGCAGAGATCATGTACCAGTAGACCATCTGACATCGGACACAACAACGTCTCGGGAGTCTTCGCTTCTCCATCCACCCTCTGGTCTTTGTTTGTTGACAGATTACTGCACATCTATATCAGTTAGGTTCAGAGGTGCTGCACTGGCTACCTGTGGGGATGGCTCGGTGAGAGCACC